ACAAGGAAAGCCTGGAGGAAAGGGCTGCTGGTGCGCTCTGCAGTGAGCTGCATGGTCTGTGCCACCTCGCAGGCCTCCAGCAATGCCAGGCGGTGGGCCTGGCAGGAGGCCATGTCCTGACACACTGACCCACAGCCCAGAGTCACAGCCCAGCCCCACCACCGGGCCGGGAGGCCAGACCTCCTCCGCCACTGTCACCGACTGCCCGGGTGACACTGCGGCCACTCCACACCTCTCACCTTGACCAGGAGGGCAGATTTGATGAACACTCATGTATGGGGTGTCCGTGCCCAGGTGCTGGCAGGGGGGTGCTGCAGGGGCCGCTGTGAGGAGAGGCTGGTTCCAGCTGGCTCCAACGGCCCGGCCGCAGGGCACCACTGAGCCCCTCAGACAAGATGGTGTCACCTCTGGGAAAATGTATTTAAGAAAGGGCAAAACACCTCATGGTGGTGTGAGGGGTGAGGAAAAGAAGTGAGAGAAACAGCCCTGCAAACACTAAGGCCAGTGAAGAAGGAGGGGGAGGAGGTGCTCCAGGTGCTGGAGTGGAGATTCCCCTGCAGCCCTTAGTGAAGACCATGGGGAAGCAGGTTGCCCGTGGAGGACCACAGTGGAGCAGATATCCACACTACAGCCTGTGGAGGACCCCATGCCAGAGCAGGGGGATGTGCGCTGAAGGGAGCTGCAGCCCATGGACAGCCCACGAAGGACAGGGGAAAAGTGTGAGAAGGAAGGATCGGCAGAGAGGAGCTGTTATGGACTGACCACAACCTCCATCCCCTGGTGACACTCAGGGTGAGAGGAGGTAGAGGAGTCAGGATTGTCTTTATCCCAACCCACAAGCTTCATTTATCTTCTTTCCCTCCCCTGTCCTGTTGAGGAGGGGAAGTGAGAGAGCAGAGCCACTGGGTGGGTGTCTGGCAGCTTGAATAAGGTCAGCCCACCACGGTGGGTAACAACAGTAAAGATACAGGGAAGGACAATTATAGGACATCCTCTAGAGACAGATACTACTCTAACAAACTCATACTGATGTGCAAAAAAACTGAGTCAGTGTATCGTAAAGCACAGGAATTACAGGTTTTCAGACTGTCCCAGTTTAAAACTGTCCATTAAAAAAAGTACATCTGAGCCACATGTGGCCGTAAATAAAAAGCCCCATTGTTATTGCACACGTTTTCCTCAAGGCACTGTCTCATCCTCTGAACCTCCTAACATAAGACTTCAAGCCATTTTTTCAGCCACTGAAAAAATTAGTAGCCAGAAGGCTTCTCCCCCCTGCCTGCCCCGCAGTGGGCATCACAACTGCCTGCCGAGACTGGTCCCCTTGCTGTCCTCCAGTGCCAGCCAGACAGCTAATACTGCAGGTATCACCCACCAAGCTACGGCTCCCCGTGAATTTTAACCAAACATTGAGAAACAGGCAAGGAGAATTCCCTTCAGTGCACCCAGCTTCAAAACTATGTCATAAATTCCAAATAAATAAATTCTTCACTTGTCATACAGCACAGCCTTTTAATGGCTATAGACATGCAGCCATTGTACTCTGACTCTGTTAGGAAAAGTAAGTTACCTGTGACAATAAAATACTTGCACAGGTAAGGAACATACTTGTGCAGGTAAGGAAAAGGTTGAAAGGAGATTATTTTCATCAATGGGAGAATGTCTTAGGTTTTCATTATGATAGTAGCTATTACTTTCTTTTTACTCCTCAGTCAGCTATTAATTTTCTCAATGAACTCTTAGGTGGCTTTCAGCCCTGCTTCTGCAAAAACCTGCAAGTATGTAACAGGGCATGTAGGTAACAAGTACTGGTGCAGGAATTTGCAAGATTTGGACCTCAGGTCAGCATAAATAACTTTTCCAGCATTCTCACTGGCTCTGTGAAAAGAAAATTGGAGTAGATCTTATACTTTACAGGAAACGATTCCCTTTTCTCCTCATATGGGAAACATCACTGTTAATGGAGCTGTTGTGCTCTGATGGGATTGCACGGAAGCAGGACTGGACAGCAGTTTATCATTAATGTCTGGAGTATGTATAGTTACTCCAGAGCATCTCTAAGAATTTGTGAGAAAAATTGAAAAGCTTCTCAGACAAGGCTGTGACTTGGGAAGCATAGAGGAAAATATCACCATGCACCTTTCACTACCTCACATTAACACTTACCCAATAACTTGATGCTCAAAGTACTGCAGTGTCCTTTGAAGAGTTTGCTGAATGGTCTGAGGCTATGGAAGAATAATTTAAAAAAATAGTAAGATAAGGGAAGTACAGTACAGTTTAATTAACATTATCTTTTAACACACTATTTTTCTCCACTTCTACTCCTCTTAATCTTCTACCTGCTAGGTGCCATCATAGCACTGGATACGAAATATTGTTGATCCCTTATGTCTCACTTCACCATTTAAATAGGAAGGAATTTTACAATGTGACATAATTAATGCTGCTTACAAGACTAGTTGTGCATAACGAAGGAGCCACTTCACTATTAGGTCTCAGAAATTATCACCCACCAATTATCTCATTATTTAAAAATAATTAAAACAGTTGCAAGAAAATGCTATTATTTTGTGATGAAAGCATCACAAGGAAAAGGCAATGGGTTTTTAAACTTTGTACACTCCTTAGAGAATATTATAAGGACACAATTTATTTTGGCTTACTTTCTTGACAAGCTATGACTCTCCAGCCATCTTTCAAATTACCAGGAAACTCAAGTTCATCAAAAGAAAATCATGGCATGCTTCAAGCATTTCTATGCTATTTCATTTTATAGGTGTTCACCAAACTACGTATGTGCATATATGTATTTATTTGCATTATTACTACTCCTACAGTGTTCACCAAAATACACATATATTTATTTCCCTTACTACTACTGCTGCTGCTGCTGCTATTCCTATTATTTTGAATTAATTCATGAGACATCTTTGGGTAAATAAAGCAAATTTGAAATCCATGTTATCCTGTTGGAATCTTCCAAGTCACTTACAGCAAAACATCGCTCTGGCTTGTATCAAATCTGGAGTTTTTCACCTGTCCATTCTGTCCTGGTGCCACAGGTCAGACAAAGGTACGCAACTGGGATTTATAAACCTTCCTTCTCTATCAGAGGCACACAGGGGTATTTTGATCAGACTTACAGCAGCAGACACTGAAATTTTAGAGTTATTTGGTATTTCCCTACCTTTTGGAAAATCCACCTAATTGTTTTGGAAAATAATAGTTGAAGCACCCCTTAATTGGACAAGTTTTATTCTAAAACCACCATCATCTTTGAAAGTCTCAGATTTTTCTTACTGCTGTACAGATTTAGCAGTTCAAGAGCTGAGCTTTCTTCCTACTATTGTGCATGAGTTTGTAGGAGATACCTGTTTTGATGGTGGCAGGAATGAAAAAATGTATACCAAGCTGCACTAGGCTTCAGCAATTGTAAAAATTTCTTTTTTAATACCAAACTATAAGAATGTGTGTACCCTTTTGAAATTAAATGTGTAGAAAGGCATGCCCTTAACAAAAATAAGCTCAAACCAGATGTAAACCTTGAAAGAGGTGGGGTTATTTTTGTTAATTCTGTATCAGATAATTACTTCTCTTCTCTGTGGGAGCTAAGTTTCCTGTGCTAAAAGGCATTAAAAGTTACAGGTTCTCTTGCAAAACACAATGAAACCATCACATATCAAAAAACCATCCCCTTCTCAGTGGTACAGCAGGTGTTGAAGTCCTTAGGCCTGATGGGCTACAAATATATTTCATGGCATGTTCTCACAGAGGTTCAGAAGCTTTCTGTGCTCCGCAGGCAGAAAAATCCATTCTTCACATATAGAAAAGATATATTTTCCCACTCCAGCAATCAGGCAAAGCAAAATGGCTTTAAGCAAAAAAGTCCAGACAGCTGCCATGTCCCATCTCCATAGAGCATCTCCCTCAGCCTCACTCCCTACACACAGAACATTAGTACTCCACCAGCACCTCCTCTGAAATGAAATGGGAAATGGTAGAAATGTCTGATTCTTAAATTAAATCTCCCTTCTGGCTCTCCCAAAGTGCTTTTACGGCAAGCGTATGGAAGGCAGCAATGCCTGGCACCACAACGGAGATGAAGGAAAATAGCTTTTTGTCTTCTCAGGAGGTTTTGCAGCTTATGACACCTGAGCAATCCTCCATGAACTGCCATTGCCTTTTTCATGCCTGACACACAAATGATGAACCTCTTTACCCAGGGAAAACTCCTTCTGAATACCTCAAGATTTGACCATACAAGCAACCTCCAAGTCCTAAGCTTATTTCATCAATAGACCTCCTTTCTCCTGCAGTACTGAATGAAAAAAAAATAGCCCATGTACTGTTAATTCTCTCTTCTGAAAGCTGAATCATCTGCCTAGCTGTTGTCAGACAATTTTATACAATCCCATGAACTCATACTCCTTTTCACTGCCATCTCCTATCAAATCTTAGAAATTAAATACAGACAAAAAATAGGATTTACGATTAAAACACTGGTCATAAACAGAGCTCTATGTAACATGCTTGCACCAGTATGAAAACTGACCTGAGGAGTCACAGTCTTTCTTCATTTCTGAGAAGAATTATTGCAGCATGTCACTGTGCATAGTTAATAAGCCACTCTGCTCATCTTCTCAGTTTGCTGTATTTCATCACTGGTGATTGTTGTTTTGCTATACACGTAATTCTGTAACTATGGCTATGACTAGACAAAACGGTGAGAAGAGATATGACACCGGCTTATAGCTACCTACAAGGGTGGTTTGGTGTGCCACTTCTGACTATGCGTTGCCTATGAGAGAGAGAGTGGAGAGGAAAACATTTCCACCTCTTTTCTGCATCCAATGGCAAGATTGGCTGTAGACAAAATAGCTAAACCTTATTCTAGTAGCCTCTCCAAGAAACATAGCTTCTCCTGCCTACCTACAACAATACACCTCTTCTACTGCAATGTATGTCTATGCCATGCAGGTAAAGCTCAGTGGTGCTTATTTACTGGAGAGGTTTTAAAGCTTCATGATGACTTAAAATGAAAGATTTGATATAAACGTAAAATAGCAACTATTACCTAAAATAGTAAATTTTAACAATTCATTTTTATTACAATGGTTTACTATTATTTGGTATGCATTACAAAAGGAATAGTCACATCAGTTCACATTTCTAAGGGCAACTCAAATTAAGACATGCCAGTATTGCTACTGTTAACTGCAAATTAATCCAAGAATTGCCATACCAGATCATATCCAAGTTCCATCTGGAATGATGAAATATAAGGTGGAAGGGACCACTGGAGGTATTTAGGCTGATCTCTTGCATAGCTGAGGGCACAGGACTTCCCTGAATTAATTATGAATCCAGACATCAGGCCATGGCTAACTCTAATGTGTCAGAATAAATTGTAAAAAATCAGAACCATAGAACGAGGTTGTAATTCGAATTACAACTGGTTACTCAGGTCTTTCTCCAGATGATTTTTGAGTGTATCCAAGGATGGCGGTTTCACAACCTCTCTGAGCAACCTGTGCTGGTGTTTGAATACCCTCATCCTTCTGCTGTGCAACCCCTGTGAAGAGTCTGGCTCCATCTTCTCTAGACACCCTGATCAGGTAGCCGTAGACTGCAACAAGATACTCCTAAAGCTGTCTCTTCTTAAAAGCTGAACAGACACAGCTCCCCCAGCCCCTCCTCGGATGTCACATGCTCCATCCCTTGAGCATCCTGGTAGTCCTCCGTTGGCCCCAGTATCAATCCCTGAGGGATATGCAGAGGTAACTGGCTGCCAATTCGACTTTGTGATTCTGATGGCCAACTTTTGAGCCCTAACCTCCAGCCAATATTGCACCTACCTTATCGTCCACTTAAGGAGTCCATATATCTCACCAGTTTGGCTCTAATGACACTATGGGAGACCACGCTAAAGACTTTCCTAAAGTCAAGATAGACAACATCCCTTCACCCATTGATCCAGTCATCTCATTACAGAAGTCAATCAGGTTGGTCAGACACAATTCAATACTCGGTAAAGGGCATAAAAGAGTGTAAAGGGTGTTAAAGGGAATAAAGAGGTTACATTTGCCCTGGATGTTCCCAGTCACCATCCTGTTGTCTAAGATTTTTGTGTTAAGAAAAAGCTTCCAAAAGGACTTCCTCCATAACCTTCCCAAGTACTGAGGTCAGGCTGATTGGTCTGTAGTTCCCTGGATCCTCCTTGCCCTTCTTGATGCTGGGTGTGACATTTGCCTTTTTCTAGTCATCAGGTACCTCCCCTGATTACCATGACTGGGAAGCTTTCCTATATCCATCCCTGCATGCTCAGGTAATGCCTCAATATCCCTCCAGGGCATCCCAACCCTGCTTCCAACTTCTGTAGACATCTCTTTTTGCATTTGAGCTCTGTGATGAGGTCCCTGTTCGTCCATACTATCCTTCTTCTATGCTTGCTCAACTTTCCACATGTCATAATCAACTGTTCTTGTGTGTTAAGGAGGGTGTTAAAGGGTTCCATGAAGATCAACCAGCTTCTTGTGCCCGTTTACCTTACAGGCTAGCTGCCTATTGGATCCTGCCAAGAATATCTATGAAGCCAAAATCTGCTCTGCTGAAGTGTGAGGTTGTGACTCCACTTATTTGTGTTTCCCATTTCTCTCAGTGTTTTGAACTTCAGTATCTCATAATCACTGTAGCCAGGGCTGACCTCAACCTTTATACCTTTGGCCAGTTCTTCCTTCTTTGTGAGCAATAGTTCCAGCAGAGTATCCCCCCTCCTTGTCAGCTCATTGATCACCTGCATTAAGAAATTGTCTTCAGCACACTTCAAAAAATCTCCTGCATTGCTTGTGCTCAGACCTATTGCCCTTCTAGTGGATTTTGGATTGGCTGAAGTCCCCCATTAGTACCGAGATCTGCCATTTTGAGGCTTCATCCATCTGTCTAAAGGTTTTCTCTGCTTTCACTTCTTGACCATCCAGTGCGTAGCAGACATACCACCACACCACCCCTGTTCATCTGTCCTCTCCTCCTAACCTTCACACTCTGGTCCAGCTTGCTCTGTCCAAAGGCAACTGCCCATGCACTGCTGCCACCTCTTTGCATAGAGTGCAGTTCCTGCTCCTCACCTTCCCAGCCCATTCCTCCTGAACAGCCTATGACCACCTCCTGCAGCACCCCCATCCTGAGAGCCATTCCACACAAGGATGTGTGCAATCCCACAGGAGGTGCAAGCTCACTCTATTAGACATCAGGGGATATCTAATACCACCTGTTTGCTCCCCATGCTACCTACATTTGAGCAGATCTCAGAGCACTTGAGATGCACTCTCAGTCATGCTGCTTTCATGAGGTGAGCATAACAGCCTCTTCCATCTTGCTGTCCTCCTTCACTGCTTCCCCTTCTCTTCGGAGAATGAAACGTCTTCCCCAACAAGCATAGTTTAAAACCTTCCTCACAAGGTTCTGAAACCTGTTAGCAAAGACACCCTACACACCCTCACCTCACTTTGTCAGATGAATGCCACTCTTGTTCAGCAGTCCTTGCTCCTCAGAGAGTTCCCCATGCCCATGGAGACCAAAGCCATGCCAGCAATGCCAGCCACACATCCAGGGACTGCCTTACTAGATGTGTTTGCTCCAACCAGAGCCTTTGCCCATCACCAGCAGGATCAAAGAGACACCGACTGGGCACCCACACCCTTCGCCCCCACACTCAAAGCCATGTAGTCATTCCTCATATACTCGCAGTCTCCCCTGGCTGTATCATTGATGCCCACATGGATGAGCAGCAGGGCTCATTGTCCAAGAGCCAAACAAGCTTTGGCAGCCTCTTTGTAACACGGTGTCCGAGCTCTTGGAAAGCAGCAAACCTCCTGAGGCAGCAAGGTACGCTGGCAGATGAGTGCCTCTGGCTCCTCAGGAGACAGTTTCTGATACCTACCAACCTCCTCTTCTTGAAGCCTCTAAAGTTTGAGTCTTAGCTGGCTGCGATGCCTCATCCCAAAAAAGGCCATCTCCTCTTCCCCCGGCACTGTACCTGGTCTGTCGCTGCTGAA